TCTGTGGTGGCATCACTGCTGCGGGACAGAGCTGCTCAGAGCCCGAGGGGCATCAACTTGAGCTGAGTGAGCATAGAACCAGGGAATGGGTTGGGTTGGAAGGGACCTTAAAGCTCCTCCATGGGCAGGGACCCCTTCCACTGGAGCAGCTTGCTCCAAGCTCCTGTGTCCAACCTGTTTCCTGCAGCCCCTTGGGGCACTGGGAGGGGTGTCACAGGCAGCTCTGCAACAGCACAGCCCCAGCCGCTGGTGCCAGCGCATCCCTGGGGCTCCGGGGCACGACCACGGCGCAGAGGCAGCATCCTGGGGCTCCAACCCCAATTCCCCCCCTTCCCTCCCGCTAACTGGGATCCAGCAGCTTCTGAGCAACGTGGAGGGCCACGGACTGCTTCCTGCAGAGTGCAGCTCGGTGAGCAACTGACTCTGGGATCAACTGACTGCAGTGATCGATGGACTCGGGTGATCGATGGATTCTGGTGATCGATTGACTCTGGTGATCGATTAACACTGGTGATCGATGGATTCTGGTGATCAATTGACTCTGGTGATCAATTGACTGATGATCGATTTGACTCTGGTGATCGACTAACTCTGGTGATTGATTGATTCTGATGATCAATTGACTCTGGTGATTGATTGACTCTGGCGATCAATGGACTGATGATTGACTCTGGTGATTGATTGACTCCAGTGATTAACTCTGGTGATCAACTGACTCTGGTGATCAACTGACTCCAGTGATCAATTAACTCTGGTGATCGATTGATGATTGATTGACTCTGGTGATCGATTGATTCTTGTGCTCAATTGACTCTGGTGATCGATTGACTCTGGTGATCGATTGATTCTTGTGCTAAATTGACTCTGGTGATAGATTGACTCCAGTGATCAAATGACTCCAGTGATCAATTACCTTTGGTGATCGATTGATTCTGGTGATCAATTGACTCCGGTGATAGATTAACTCCAGTGATTGATTGACTCCGGTGATCAACTGACTGATGATCGATTGACTCTGGTGACCACTTGACTGATGATCGATTGACTCCGGTTATCAATTGACTGATGATTGATTAACTCCGGTGATCAATTGACTAATGATCGATTGACTCCGGTGATCAATTGACTAATGATCGATTGACTCTGGTGATCAACTGACTGATGATCGATTGACTGATGATCGATTAACTCCGGTGATCAATTGACTGATGATCGATTGACTCTGGTGATCAACTGACTGATGATTGATTGACTGATGATCAATTAACTCCGGTGATCGATTAACTCAGGTGATCGATTGACTGATGATCGATTAACTCTGGTGATCAACTGACTGATGATCGATTAACTCTGGTGATCGATTGACTGATGATCGATTAACTCCGGTGATCAACTGACTGATGATCAATTGACTGATGATCAATTAACTCCGGTGATCGATTAACTCTGGTGATCGATTGATGATCGATTAACTCCGGTGATCAACTGACTGATGATCGATTAACTCTGGTGATCGATTGACTGATGATCGATTAACTCCGGTGATCAACTGACTGATGATCGATTGACTGATGATCAATTAACTCCGGTGATCGATTAACTCTGGTGATCGATTGATGATCGATTAACTCCGGTGATCAACTGACTGATGATCGATTAACTCTGGTGATCGATTGACTGATAATCGATTGACTGATGATCAATTAACTCCGGTGATCGATTAACTCCGGTGATCGATTGATGATCGATTAACTCCGGTGATCAACTGACTGATGATCGATTAACTCCGGTGATCAACTGACTGATGATCGATTGACTGATGATCAATTAACTCCGGTGATCGATTAACTCCGGTGATCGACTGATGATCGATTAACTCCGGTTATCAATTGACTCAAGCTCTGGCTGCGGGCACAGCGCCTCCGTGTCCCGGGGCCCCTCCAGGCCCGCCCCTCCCTCCGCGGCCTCCGCTCCCGGCCCCGCCGCCGGCTCCGCTTGGCCCCTGACCCCTGACCCGGCCCCGCACGGCCGCGCCCCCCGGCGCTCCCCCGCCCTCCCGGCGCCGCAGCCAATGAGCGGCGGCCGCCACATCCGGGGCCTGAGCCCCGCTGCCGCTCGCGCTCGGCCATGGCGGAGGTGAGTGAGGAGCCGCCGGTGCGCTCGGGATGGGCCTCGGGCCTCCCCCGGCGGAACCCGGAGCCCCGGCACCCTCCGGTCCCGGTACCCCCGAGCCCCGGCACTCTCCGGTCCCTTCAACCCCGGGCCCCACCACTCCCAGGGCACCGGCACCCCGAGGCCTACAGCCCGGCGCCGCTCGGGCTCAGGGTGCTGCGGCCGCGGGGTGCAGCGGGGCCCACCGGGGCCGGGCGGAGGGCAACGGGCAGGGGCCGGGGCCGAGCCCCGGGAGCAGCCGCGGGGCTGCCCGGGCCAGGCCTGCGGGAGCGGGGCCGGAGGGATGCGGGTGGATCTGCGGGGTTACGGGGACGGAGCAGAGCCCCGAGGCTTTGGCCCGGCGGGGTGGGATGGGAGCCGGAGTCTGAGGGGTGATGGAAGGGGGCTCAGGAGGGTCGGAGGTGAATGATGGGGTCCGAGCAGTTGGAGAGCGCTGCCGGGCAGGGCATAGGAGCAGGAGAGGCTTTGGGATTGGTTTGAGTGATGGGAGAGGGAGACCCACCTTGAGAGGGGGATCCCACAGTGGTGGTTGATGGGGGCCTCGTGCCGAAATGCTGCTGCCATGGCTCCACCGCGCTCCGGCTGCTGATGCCGTTCGCTGTCGCATCTTATCACGTCCTTGAGATATCCCCATGCTGTTGTAATGGTCGTGGTGGCACATCCGTGCTTCGTTTCCATCGTGAGGTCCTCGTGGTGACCACGATGTGGGAAGAGGACACTGGGAGAGATTGAGACTTCACTATCAGGGTGTTGAAGCACTGTGAGGAGGAAGGTGCCATCTGGTCTCTCATCTATCTGGGGGGGGTTTGCTCTTTTTAGGGAGATGCAGGAGCTGCTGGTGTCCCACAGATGAGGCTGGAGTATCTGCAGCAGTGAGTGATTGGGATGCAGGTTTTCCTGAGCTCTGTGTCTCTTGTCCCCTGTTTGTTTGCTTGTTCAGGTGCAGGATGAACCCGTTTCCGTCCATTCCACTTCCCTCTGGCTACAGCTGGAGTTTGTAGAGGAGGGACCCGTGTCAAGCAGTAGGGGAAAGGCAAAGGAACAAGGAAGGCTTCTCACTGGGTCTGAAATAGGGGTTAGAGTAGCTCAGGGAGCCATGGGAGTCATTGAAGAGGTAGCACTGGAAAGGGAAACCTGCACTCTTCTTCCTCGCTTCCTTGTGAGGGTGGTTTCAGCCTGTAGGTGTTGGGCTTGATGGTTCTTATGGATCCCTTCCAACTTGGGCTACTCCGTGACTCTCTGCAAGGTGTTCTCTGGTAGTGCTCTGGAGAAACCCAGTTTGTACTCATGCCTGAGAAGCAGACATTGGCACTGCCCAAAGTGAATGGAATTCACCCCTGCACCCTTCCCTGCTGATCAACCCTGCCACCAGCCAGAAGAGCATCTCCACCTGGACCAGGAGCTCCTGACCTGGAGATCCCCACCAGCACCTTGATGTCTTTCTGCCCTGTGTAATGCTGTTGCATGTTCTGTTTCCTGTGTGATACCTGGATTTGAAGCATTGGACTGCAGCTCCTCACCTTCAAACACACCCCTGGCATCAGGAGTCAGTGGGATTGGGAATATTCTCTCTGGCATTGTTCATGTTTTGAAGCCAGACCTGCCTTTCTCCCATGCTCCTTTGACTTGTTTCTGTGGGCTTCTGGGTTTGTAAACCGTTGGAAGGCTTATTAAGATCAACACCTCTTTACATTTGGGGGTGGAGTGGGCTATTGGTCACTTATTTCTCCCCTTCTCATCCCAAATCCGGTGGTGCTGGTTATTTCGTGGCAACTCCAGCTCAGAGCAGCTCCCACTTGCTCTTAATGCTGCGTTACTACTTTGGGGAAATAAACTGCCAAGTTGTTACCCTGTCATATTGCCTGTCACTCTTCATTCCAGCACCTGATTGTTAATGTAAGATCTCATCATTCCTGAAGGATTCTTGACATCCTTTCAAGCTGGCCCAGCCACTGTGACAGATTCAGGCTTTGCTTTCAGAGTCCTTTACGTGCAGCTCCTTATCGATCCCTGTGTGAAGGAGGTGCAACCCATAGATACAAAGATGAGGGTTTCAGCAAAGATCACTGAGGACTGGAGTGTGAGCTTCCCCTTATCCTGCTCATCAAACCAGGGATGCTTGCATGGAAGGCTTTACCCAAGAGGGTTCTGTACTTGGTTGTGGTCCAGCAGAGCCCAGAAAAGCGGCACTGATACTTCCTTGAGTTCCGAAGCTGTTGCCTGATATGACCATGCTCCAAATGGAGTCTGTTTGATTCCTTTCCATCTTCTTCTCCTTTCATGATCCCATAAACTGCTTCCTTTTCTTCGGGTGACCACCTCTGGGCTCTGCCTGCAGCTACAGTGGTCTCCAGTGGGGTTCTCATGCCTGGGGACAGTGATCTGCAGCGTTGAACCAGAGGCATCCTCTTTTCCCTGGTCCTAGTAGAGGAGGGAGCAGGAATTCCACCGCTGCTTCACACATCCTTCTCCTTCCTCCTTCTTGAGCCTTCTTTCTATGGCAATCTCTTTCCAGGCCAGCCATCATCTCAGTGATAATTAGACCTAAAAACCAGCTGCCTCTGTGTTGCTATGGAATTTGCAGTTGTATGTGTTGGTACCTGAAGGCTCCAACTCCAGACCCAAAATCTGGGGTGGCTTTTCTGGTGTACACTTTGCTTTATTGTTAGAGGATGCATTTTGATGTGAGGCTGGGCTGTGCTTTCAGTTGTAAGAGCCTCGTGCTGCAGCGCTGTGGATGTCCTGGCTCCCACTGAGGAGCACCAGTGCACGGCTGAGGTTGTTAATGGCTGAGCATCGTAAACCAGTGTCAGTGGTGACTGAGGGACTGTGATTTTCTTCTGCAGTCGGATGCTCTCAGTCACCCAAAGGCCCTGGTTAGTCCCCTGCTTGCTCCCCACCTAAGCTGAGCTTGATGAACAGCATTTCCCTGCACAGCAGCCCAGGCAGCAGCAGATGTCCTGGGTTCTTTGCCAGGCCTCAGCCCATTCTGCTGCCTGAACTTCCGAGTGAGCACTGAATGCCAGAGGGCAGGTGCCTGTTCTCAGTGTCTACCTGTCTCACCTTTTCCCACCTCACCTGGGCCATTCCCAGTCCTACCAGGCTCCTTTGCTGCCTGCTCAGCACTAAATCTCTTTACTCACCCCTTGGAGCCTTCTGGATGTGGTGAGGAGTTAGGCAGAAGCCATTGAGTTGTGGCTGTCTCCGATTGCCTCCAATGGGGCAGCTCCTAAAAATGCTGCCTTAGACAAGCATGATGTGTGCATTTAGAATAAGGGTCCAAGTAATTCTGTGAGGGAAGATGTAAGACAGAAAGATCTGAGGTCTTAAATTGGTGAGAGGAGAAATAGTTAATGGAGTGCTGAAGATAAAGTGGAAACAGCTCCATACACAGAGATCCAGGAGAAGGTGATGGAGCTGGGGGATACACTTGAGCTCTCTTTGCACAGTCTCTTGTGCTGCCCATGTGGGTTCTGTTAACTTTGGCTTTGGGATGACATGAGTTGCATTGCCTGGCGGGGTCACCTTCGAGGAGGAGATGTCTCAGGTGTGGTTTTCTCTTCTCTTCAAGGCCTCGGTTGGGCGGCAGAGCCCCCGGGTGGTGCCGTACCCAGCACGCAGCCTATGTCCTGCAGAGCCCGCCCTTCAGACTGCAGCAGGTACCCGTGGTTTAAGTCTGTGTCTGTCTGTTGGCCCCGTTTCCAGAGGAGGCAGAGCTCCTGTGCTCAGCTTGTCTGTTCCCTTCTCCTTCTGCCATCTTCCAAACCTGTCAGTGGACTCCCATGCCATTTGACAGGGAAGTATTAGAGATGCCAGAGCTCTAAGTGCCCATTTGCCCATTCTTTCTATAAGGGGTAGTTATCCTCAAACCACCTCAGGTGAAGGAAAGGCTTCCCCAGCCATTCACGTGTTGTGACACCAGGGAATCCAGTTGGGACAGACACACTAATACCCAGAAAACCCTCAGCTTTCGGTCACTTGTGGACTTGAATGTGCAGAGAAGCCAGAGTTGGTGTTCCCCAGCCCATTTCTACCTCATCTCCTCCTCTGTCTTCTCATGGCTGCACACACATAAGAAGGGATCATCCCAAGCTTTGTTGCAGCTGCAGATTTGGTCCAGGGTGGTGCTAGTGTCCAACTTCTTTTAATCCCTGCAGTTGTGTCCATGGGCTCAGCTGATCATCGACTGAACTTAGCAGAGATCCTTTCACAGAACTATGGTGTACGGGAAGAAAGGGAGGAGGAAGATGATACTCAGGAGAAGCAGAAATCTTTAGAAGAGCTGGAGAAGAGCTTCAGTGCCCCTCAGGTAAAGGCAGCGAGGGAAGGGAAGAGGGGGTTGGGTTTGCTTTGGATTTGCTTCGCTTCCTCTGTATAAACACAACTGTGCTGTCTGGCATCTCTTCACCAGCGTGGAATCTAGTATAAAAAGTAAAGATAATGATTTAATAGTGTGTAATAAATGCAAAGTAATTAAATGTAACATAGAGATATAAAAAGAAATATGCTTTTTAATGCCCTTGCCTGGGCTGAAAGCTACTGGCTTCTCCTCACCCCTGAGAAGAGCAGGTTATGGTGGGTCCTGTTAGACCTCAGTGCCTCCTTCCTTACACAGCATGACCCGAGGCAGATCAGAGCCCCCAGAAGAGCAGAGGTGCCTTGACTGCCTCTGCATATCTCTGTGTTCACTGCAGCTGGTGTTGTGCTCGGTGATTGTTCCCTTCCTGATGAAGCTTTGTCCTCCTCTCGCTCAGAGCAGTGAAATGCCATTTGAGGAGCTGCTTGCACTTTATGGCTATGAGGCATCTGATCCCATCTCGGAGCAGGACAGCGAGAGCAATGATATTACTCCAAATCTCCCAGATATGACTCTGGATAAGGTAAGAGCAGCTCTCTGCTTGGTGTGTGCTCTTAGTGCTGTTGGTTACTGGGCTGTCTGGAGCTTGAGGCATCCAGGAGCTCTTTTCAGCTGGGGTTCAACTGATGCCAAGGGAAGGGGCCTGCCTAGGTCTGGTGTCCCAGTGAGGAATGCCAGCAGCAGCAATGTGAACATAAAGAGTTTAGAGGAGAGAGCTGTTTAAAAAGACCACTGTAAAAACTCTTTATGGAAGCTGGGTTACAAGTCTGGGCACACAGGTGTGGCTCTGGAGAATCAGGGAGGGTTTGCACCTTGCCAGGTGAAGATGTGGCTCCTCTTCTTCTAGCTACAGTCTATGGAAAGCTCTTTTTCTCCTTCCAGCAACTATCTGCTATGAGGGGAGCTCTACAGAAAGGACCACTTGCTTGTCCTCTCTCTGGCTTCCGTGGGAAGCCACTCTTGACACTTGTCAAGGAGCTTCTAAGGAAAATAATCTGGGGGTGGTGGGGAGAGTGAGGGAGAATCTGTCTTTGGGGTTTGAATTGACCAGGAATGCTTTACTCTAGGCCTCATACCCCACCCCACCCCTCCTCTATTTTCTTCATTTAAACATATTTTTCACTTTCTTGTTGTTGTTAAAAGGAACAAATAGCGAAGGATTTGCTTTCAGGGGAAGAAGAGGAGGAGACACAGTCTTCAGCTGACGACCTGACACCATCCGTCACATCGCACGATGCATCGGACCTATTCCCAAACCAGCCTGGCTGTATGTGTCCCTAAGTAATTGGGGTTTCTTACTTAGATGTCATGTGCAGGGTAGAGCAAGAAGGGATTTCTTTCTTTTATCACTCGGTTTCTTGACATCACTTTCCTTCTGGGGGCTGCAGGTAACCAAACCTGAGTGCCAGTGGTGCTAAGGAGTGTTGGTGAAGATGTGATAGAGTGGAGATGAGGGATAATTGCCTTTGGGTGTAACTCATACTATTGAGAAAGTGAGAACTGCTTTGCTGCCTGCTGTGGTTGCAGTCTGAGAGATCAGCCCTTGATCTGACATCTCTAGAAGTGAATAAATGCAGTAGTGTGTGTGCTGTGATATACTGTGGCAGTTCCTACATATGGGAAACCAAAGTGCAGAGAGGGAGACTCAGCACAAAGGGGTCTTATCCCGTCTGCTACCCTGCAGAATGAAGGAGCCTGAGCCCCCCAGGTTGGTCAGCAGCACCCATGTAGCAAGGGGGCATATCCTTGTATTTAATCAGGGTAAGTTGTCACTGTGGATCCTGGTGAAAGCAACTTTAGGACAGGAAATGAAGGGAAGGAGAGGGAACATAGAGCAGTGTGGGGGGGAAATAACTATAGGTGTTTCCCTTTCCCACAAAGCAAACAACTTCCTTGCTGATGAAGACAAAGAGCCCTGTTCATCTCCATGTGCTTCCTCCATGGCTGAGGATTCGGAGGAGGATTCCATCCCATCCAATGAGTGTAAGAAGGTAAATGATTGGGGCATGTTGGGAAGGGGAACCAATGCAGTGTGCCTGAGCCTGAGGAAAGCGTGATACCAAAACCAAGGAATTCTATCTCTTTTCTTTTTCCTTAGCACCTTGTATTCTGTGGGAGGTGGCAGCAGATGTGGGTTACAAGAGGTACTTTAAATCCAATCTTGAAACCTGCATCTGAAGTTATCTTCTGCTTCAGCTGTGGCAAATGCTGCTGTGCCTTGGCAAATGAAAACTGCAGCCTGTAGCCCTATAAAGGTGAAAAGCTGTGCAATATTCCCAGCAGGATTTACAGAGGGGGCAGCACCATAGGAAAGAGAGGAGCAGACTTCCAAATACATCCTAGTTGTGAAGGTTGCAGGAGAGCTTCTGCATGACTTTGTCTCCAGCTGAGCTGCTTGCCATATATCTTCACCGTTAAAACTATGTAAATGCCTCCAGTCCCCACAGTACCATCTTGTTGGTAGTAAATCTTCTTAGTTAGCCTATAAAATACTCAGGGTTCCCTAGAACAGTGACAGGGGGGACTACCAATACATAAATCAGCCTCATAGTGTTCCAGCCCCTAAATCATGAAGTGCTCCTCTGTGCCTGCGTGGAGCTGTTTCTATTTCCATTTACCAGCATCTCTGGTGATGTTTCAGGAGATCATGGTTGGACCTCAGTACCAAGCCACTGTTCCCATCCTCCACTTGAACAGGCATGGGGAAAAAGGTAAGCACCTGCTTTCTGTGCCCTGTTTGGATGGAGGGCTGCTGTATTTGGGGGGCCTTCATTTGGAGGTTGTGTCTGATAACCAGGGTGATACCAGAAGCAGCTTGTGGGGTTTCTGAATGAAGTAGCTGACAGAAAGCTCCGTCTGCAGAAATCCCTTGTTTCCTCTTTAGGTCTTTTATCCTTGCAGACTCTGAGCAGATAAGTTCAAGGGGATAAAAGTGATCTGTTTTGCAGGGCCTGTTTCACATTTACCTGTGCAGCTCTCAGAAGGTTTCCGTGTAACTCTTATCAGTGCTCTCAGCCTTCTGTATTAAGAGCACAGATTTAGTGTGTGTTTTCCATGTTTGCATCAGTGTGAAATGAAAGTAAACTGATAGCAGATCTCAGTGGGGGGCCTTCTGTGCTCTGTCAAGTGCCTCTGACCTGATTTTAGTGATTTTACAGGGCAGAAGGGTTGGTTCCTTTGCCTGTGGAAACCAGTTCAGTCCATGAAGTGCTGATGTCTTCATTTGAATAGAAAAATCTCAGCATTTCTGATGATTTCCTATTGCAGAGTCTTTCTTCTTGCTTCCTCTGTGCTGTTACTTTACTTCAGCATCTCTCTGCATTCTTGTGTGCTGTGTTCTCATGTAGAAAGAGCTTTGAAAGCTGAAAGGGGCAAGAATTACTTGATGGTCATGTGTGCTCCTGTGGGTGAAGCAGCTCCTGGAGGAATGTTACAAGCTGCTGGGGGGACACTCAGCTTTCCAGCTGCTTAGTTCTGTGTCTAGGACAGGGAGAAGGGCTTGAGCCTAAGCCAGGGTTGTAGCTCAAAGCTGCCTTCAGCTCCCACTCCTCTTGTTTACTGTGTGCAGGAAAAGACACCTTAGAACTTAGGGGTTTCTAATAATGAATCAAAGCAACAAGCTTTGAGAACATGGTAACAAAATCCTTATCAGCCAACTCTTCTGAAGAAGTGGAAGCAAGCTGAGCCTGTGCCAGGGCTTGATAAGAGGTATAGGGAGCATTAAGCATCTCCACCTCCAGTATTCCCAGCGATGGTTGCCATCCCTAGTGCCAGGTTGTGGGACCAAGCCCAGGTTTCCTCCCTCCTTGTCTCTCTCCTGTGCAGACCATTCCTGAAAAGCAGTGGAATTCTCTGTTTGATTATCTTATTTCAGTGCTTTTTCTGTTAGCCTATGAGAATGAAGATCAGCTGCTTTGGGACCCAAACATCCTCCCCGAGAGAGAGGTGGAGGAGTTCCTGTACCGCGCGGTGAAGCGGCAGTGGGACGAGCTGTCCAGCAGCAGCCTGCCAGAAGGAGAGATGGTGAAGGACAACGAGCAGGTAAGTGTGGGGCTTCCTGCAGGGATCCTTTGTTCCTGCTTCATAGAACCATGGAATTCCAGAGTGGGTTGGGTTGGAAGGAGCCTTAAAGCCCCTTGCCACGGGCAGGGACACCTCCCACTAGAGCAGCTTGCTCCAAGCCCCTGTGTCCAACCTGGCCTTGAACACTGCCAGGGATGGGGCAGCCACAGCTTCTCTGGGCACCCTGTGCCACAGGCCTGTCTGCCTCAGTGCTGTACCCTCAACGCAGTCACAGTTGCTTGTGGCATGCATGTAACAGGCTGGGTACTGTTCTAACTGTACTCTCCCAGTCTCCCAAACACAGAGCTTGTAGCAGGGTCACCTTTTTGGCTCTGTCCTCTAGAACAGCATCTGATTCTTCTGTGAAGCCAGCAGAAGATCAAACATTTGGCTAAGAAACGAGAGCAGTTGTGTTTCCTCCATGTAGCCAGGTTAGATTCTCACCCTAAGTCTGCAGGAGGGCAATGGCACCCCAGAGGCCTGCAGAGCTGCAGACTTAGGGTTTGTGATCCGGTGCCTCCAAAAGCAGAAGCATCTCCTCTGATGGTCACAGTGGGGTTAGTGGCAAAGTGGCTCCTGGGAAAAAGAGGTGACAAAGGTGAGGCTTGAGCAGGTTGGTTTGGGGTGTGTGGCTCAGGTACACGCTGGGAGTCTTTGCCTTCTCTTTTTAGGCTTTGTACGAGCTGGTTAAATGCAACTTCAATGCAGAAGAGGCACTGCGGAGGCTACGGTTCAACGTGAAGGTCATCAGAGGTGAGAACCCCCTTGCTTGGGGTCTGCCCCAGACCTTGAGGCATGTGTAGAGTCTGGAAAGAGCTCCATCTCCTCCACTTCCACTTTCTCTCTGCTCTAGATGAGCTTTGTGCCTGGAGCGAGGAAGAATGTAGGAATTTTGAGCATGGCTTCAGGGTCCATGGGAAAAACTTCCACCTTATCCAGGCAAACAAGGTAAGGGCATTCCCCACCGCATCCCACTAAGACGGAGGAAAGGAGGCACGTGCCTTGGCACCAGAGGTATGTAGTGAGCCTCAGCTAATGCAGGAAGTTCAGGACTGCTGAGTTCCCATCCCAGGCTTTGTGTTGACTCATGCTATAGCAGGTGATGGGCTGTTCACTGCCCTGCTCTGCCTTATTTTCCAGGTGGGAGAAGTCACAAACACCACTGACCTGCATGAGTGATGTCAGTTAATTACTGATTAGCCCTTTCTGGAGTCTCAAAAGTTCTTTCCAAACTCTCAGCCCTTGCAGTGCTTCTGTGAATGAGTGAGTTGAGCATGTGGATGTTTTGTAAAGTCCCCTGGGGTCCTCTAGAACCAAAGATGCTGTTGTAGGGAAGAGCTGGGCCCCAGGACATACGCTGCTGTGCTGGGAGTTGGCAGAACCAGAGAGTCCAGTTCTACTGCTGATTAATTGTGGGCATGTTGATGCTGGCCAGTGAAAATGGATGCAGGTTTGCTCTCTTGATGGTAAACGTGCTGCTGGAAGCGCAGGGATGTCCTGCACCAACACTGGGCTCTGCAAGAACAACTGTGCACTGTGGGGAGCCCTTTCTTGGGCCGATTACCACCTTGGAAAGCTCACTTTGTGCTGCTGTTGGGGCAGCTTAGATGTGTCCGTAGTGCTAGAAATGACTGGAATTTTTCTATGCTGCTTAAATGGGAAGCTGCTCCTTGCTCCACACCTGGAGGTCTCACTGGGATCTCTTTCCCCTCAGGTCCGTACCCGGTCAGTGGGCGAGTGCGTGGAATATTACTACATGTGGAAGAAGTCGGAGCGTTACGACTACTTCACTCAGCAGACACGTTTAGGAAGGAAGAAGTACGTCCTCCACCCTGGAGCCACGTGCGTGGAATATTCTCACCCTAAACTTAGTAACTCTAAGCTCCCAGTGAAGATTCCTGCTGCAGAGCACCTCCGCTTGCTCCTCTAGAAGGTTGCTGGGGTGGGAGTGGGGAGGGATGCGCTGGATGCTCCCACAACCTGATCCCTGCAAGCGTGGGGAGGGGAGAGGAAGCAATGAGTCGCTTGGTTGGGCACTTTGGGTGTCAGAAACCACTTTTCATTCAAGGCAAAGGCAAACAGAAGCACGCAAGTGAAGGGCAAGGGCAGGGATTCAGGGCTGAGCTCGGTGACTCAGTTCAGGGAGGTTTAGGGAAGGGAGCTTTTGAAGTTCAAAGTTACCATTTCTGGTGGTTTGGAACCTGAATTCGTTCCTTTCCCTGCTGCCACCCTTCGAGGCAAATTCCTCACTTGGAAATGCATGCAGGTAGGGCAGGCGCTGCACAGAGAGGTGGAAACCGAAACGTTTTAAAGGTCAAACTGAAGTATTTCAGTTGAATGCATTAAATCCATAGATGAAGTCTTAGATAATCACTTTTTATTGTGATGCAAGAAAGGAAAATAGCTGAAATCCCAAATCCCTCCAGGATGGGAAGATATTTTCCCATCACTTCCCTTTGCTGGCATGCCAGCATTGCCACAAGCCACCCAAGGGGAGGAGGTGTTCCCTTTAAGGAAGGCCTGTGGCTATCTGTTTCCCTTTGGAAGGGGCTGAGGTTCAGAGCTCTGGTTGGGAAAGCTGCGGAGCCCCTTCAGGTTTCTCCCAGGCTGATCTTGGCCACCCTGAGCTACCTTCAGTCACCTCAGTGCTGTTTAAACTGGGCTCTGCCCACCAAGGAGGGATGGACATTGGTTCCAGTGAGGTCTCTACAGTCCTGTTGCTTTCTTTGTGGCTGGGTTGTGATCCCAGCCCTGTTTTCCCTGCCTGCATCCTCACTGGCAGGGGTGGCAGTGCTGACTGTCTGTCTCCACAGGGATTACACCGACAATGACTTGGATGGGGGTGAAGTTGAAAACTCCACTCGTCCTCGGAGCTCCCCTCCCATTCCCTCTGGAACTGGCTGCCTGGATTCCCACTTCAGTCAAGACCAGATAGCAATAGAGAGCACAGGTAATGTCCTTTGTGTTCTCTCTGCCATGGGGATAACTCATCTCCCTCACTCAGGGGGTCTGGGCTGCGTTTGCCTTTCTCCCATTGCCATTATCGAGCTGTTGCTCTTTTCCCCCTACCTTGCCAATGGGTTCACTTTGCCCTGTGCCAAAGAGCAGAGCTTGGTGTGAGCAGAGAAGACTTTGGCTCTGCCTTGACCAGTAGTGACTGAAAACTGTTCCAGAGGCTGATTTATGGCACCAGGAGTTGGGCTGTACCTGATACTGCTCCCAGAGGGATCTGGCTGTGAGCAGACACACAGGGAGTCCCAGATGGGTTCCTTCCCTCGTTGTCACACTGCAGATGAGGCCTTTGTGTAGGCATCTCGCAGGGGCTGCCAGCACGAGGGGGGAGAGACTTTGGATTAGCTTTATCTTGGGGAGTGTCTCTGAGATTCCCTTTAATTTCCATAGAAACACTGCTGGCCTCCCATCTGCTGGCTGCATCTTGCCCTCCTTGGGCCCTCGGTCGCTGTAATAAACCTTTGTGCCAGCAAACTGGTTGGGATTTAGGCAGGATCGAAGTGGAAGCTTGGACTCACTGCAGCTTTCTGTCCCTTGTCCCTCCCCCTTTCTCCCTCCCTGTCTCTTTTGTCTGCCTCTCCCCTCCCCATGGGATGCACAGAGCCCCTGAGCGTGGAGAGCACTGCCTGCAGCCTGGGCAGCATGAGCGAGTCGGGGCAGGGCTACGAGTGCAGCACTCCTTCGGAGACCAACTGCTCCTTCGACCCCCAGGAAGAGCCATCCTCAGGCACCCCCTCGGCTCCCTGCCCTCGCCACCCCACCGCCAGCACCGAGCCGCGGCTCTTCCCTCTGCCCCCGGCGGCCCCGGCACAGGCGGAGAAGCAGGAGCCCTTGCAGAGCTCTGGTGGGACGCTAAGCATGGACTTCCCTCTCCCTGCAGACATTAAGGAGGCTTTGCCTTTAATCGCTGGCCCTGTGGATTTGGACAGAGAGCCAGAGGTGGCCCCTGCGCAAGTGTCCTTATCGGTCACAGAGTTTGGCCTCATCGGCATCGGAGATGTAAATAGTTTCCTGAGTGCTCACCAGGCTTGTCCAGCTCCTGTGGCTCGGTCGGAGCCTTTGTCACAGTGAAAGGCTCCGCTCATGGACTTGTCCCAGACCCAGCAAGGACTTTGAGCTGACTTGACTGAAATCCGGGAGCTTCCGCTGCTCCCCAGGGACAGTTTGGAGCTGTTGGTCAGAACCCGCCTTTCCATCCTCCTTGATCCAAGTGAAACCAAACACCTTTCTGCTCCAGTGTGTTCTGGCACCAGCCCGCAAAGCTGGTGGCTGGCTGTGGTGATGGGGGGGGGAGCTCGCTCACCCCCCTCTTGCCTTGACCCTGTGTCACCCCAGGTAATGCCAGGCTCAGAGAGTCCCTGCCTTGGGACAGGAGAAGTGGCCTTGGCCCCAGAGATGCTTTGAGAGCAGGGATGTGTCACCGGTGCCATGGGGACCCGGGGCGCAGGATGCAGTCTGCAGGTCCAAGAGCTTAGGACATGCCCAGGAAGCACGTTCCAAGGGACAGGCATGGCCATGCCAGAGGAGGAGGATGGAGGAGCCTTTGCCCTTCACCCACAGGTAGCGTGTTGCCGTGGAATCATCCTGCCCATTCCCGTTGTGGGTCCTGGCACCCCGATGGTGATCTCTGCCCGCTGCTGTGTGTTCCTGCGGGTGGGATGCAGCTGGAGGCCGGCCTCAGGTCCTGGCGAAGGGATCCTGTGTGTGCTTAAGTCCTTCTCGCCTTCCCTTGCAGGGAATTGTCCTGGGAGGAAAGGGAGTTTCTAGACACCCCCCCCAGAGCTGTGCCGCTTCGGTGCCCGGCAGTGAAGGACTTGATCCTTGTGAGCCCTGCAGTGCAGGAGGGGAAAATGCAGATGGAAAGGTCTGGAACTTCCCAGCTCGTGCAGCCATCCCAGCTGTGGGAGGAGGAAGATGAGGAGGGCACCAAGTGTGGTGCCAGCATGGAATCCTGGGCAGGAGAGAGCATCCCTGCCCCTTCCTGCAGCACAGGGAAAGCTGTGTTCCAAGAGGAAAGTCTGTCTTTACTGCCATTAGCAGTGCCCAGGGAGGTGACAACAGGGCTGTGCTGGAGGCTGGAGCCGCTTCGCTTCCCGGGTGTGTTCCAGGGCTTGGGTTTGCCACTGGCTTCAATGCACGTGTTCTCCTTCCCTTTTTATCCATGCGGGAATGCTGTCCGGCTGGCGCAGACCTTCCCTCCTCCATTTGTTTTCCACATTTGGGAAGGGGTTGAGGTTTTCTGCTCGCTTTGATTGAGCCCTTTGAGCTGCCATCAGTGGGTCTGGACGGTGACTAAACCCATTAACCCGCATCCTGTTGTCGCCAGCCCTGGGAGGTGGTGCTCAGCCCCGCGGGAGGGGGGGGATGACAGGATCATACCTTGTGGCTCCTCTTCCAAGCCCCAGGCTGGTTTCATGGGCAGGGCTTTGCTGTGAGGGGTGCTGAGCTCAATCCATCACCATGTGATAACTGGGCTCAAGGGGAAGGCAAACACATGGAACCAGAGTGGAACCACCCGGCTCCGAGTCCTCTTTCCTGGCTGGAGAGGAAGCTCCTTGGAGGGAAGAGAAGCAGAGGGGAGGGCCAGACCTCAGCCTCTCCTCTCTGCCAGCCACAAACAGGCTTAGTTTTCCCCAATCCCTTCTTTCTTTGGTTCATTTCAAGCCCTCCCGAGGCAGGGATCCCTTATTTATGTTCTCCAGTGCTGTTTACAGTCGCATGGGCTCCTTCACCACCGGGGTCCTGCTTTTCCCACCCATCTTCCAAAGGAGAGGAGGGCAGGAAAGGGCTGGGCCAGGGGGGAGGAAGCAGGGGTTTGGTGGGGTTTTCTTTCTCCTTTACAAAGCACATTCACTTTGAGCCACTCCCGCTGCTGGACTCGTTCCCCCCCCAACCCCTACACTGTGAAGTGAAACTGCCTTGAAGCCCCCCTCGCCGCTATTTATTTAATTAAACCCCTCATTTGAAAGTGAGCAGGAGCCTCTTGTGCTGTCGGAGCCGGAGAGAAGCAAAGAAGAGGGTCCTCACCTCGGCCTCATCCTGCCCTGGGGCTGTTGGCCGTTCAGCGTGGAGGGCAGGAGGCTTTGATGCTCTTACAGGTGCTCTGGTTCCTTTGGAGAGCCTGTGGTTGTGGTAGGAGGAGAAGGGACCCATCCCTCCATCCATCCCTCATTGGCTTCAGCCAGAAACTACATCCAGCGTTCCTGCTGCTGCTCCCTTGTGTGTTGTTCCCCACAAAGCCCCTCTGTTTTGTCCCAAACTCCCTAAGTTCCCTTCTCCAGCTCTTGCTCAGGGCTTTGGGGGTGATGGCAGCTTCCCATCTCCATCCTCAGCTGGAAAACCAGCAGGAAAAGGGCTTGGGGAGCTCTCCTGGTGCCATGTTTCCCCAGGATCGGCCCTGGATGCAATGGGGAGCTCTAGGTCTTAGGGGGTCCCTGTCCTTTGTCTCATCGCATCCTCTAAAGGCCCTTCTGGCTCTGGAAGGTGCAGGACCAGCGGGACCAAACCCCCCACCATCACCACTGCATCCTGCGGGGACGCTGCGGGAGCGGCGCTTCGACGGCAGAGGGGGCACCGGGACCGGGACCGGCTCCTTCCCGGGGCACCGGACATCGGATCCCGCTGCAGTTGCAGCCCCTCGGAGCGGAGCATCAGCATTCCCCAGGATGGGGCCCTGGTGCTGGAATGAGTGCAGGACCCTACGGGAAGCACAGGAGGAGTTGATGGTTACCTAATGGATAGGGGCCAAGTGCCAGGCACCCCCCCACCCTCCCCCGCGGCCCTGCACTGCTCAGCCCCCTGCCCAGCCCCACACAACTGAGCTGGGATTGTGGGGCCGGGCTCAGAGCAGCTCAGAGCCGGGGCTGGGCTCTTCCGGGGTGTCTCCAGCAGCCACAGCACGCTATAGGGCAAAGTCCTGCCCATGGGGCTGCTCCGTGAGGCCATTCCATTGGCACGGGAGCTGCTGCCTTATTTTGCCCCTCTCTGCCCTGCTGCAGCAAGGGGCCTGCAGCATGGGGTTGTGTGACCCCACCAGGCTGCATCTTGTCCTCGCTGAGCCCCCCACCTCCACATCTGAGCCCCTAAAACTGAGTGGGAGGCTCAGCACAGCCCAAGGCCTGCTGGGGGCTGCGATGGGGCTGAGCTCAGTGTGGGGAGAGGCTGCGTTAAACCCTGCATCCTCCCCACCCAGGGCATAGCTTGGGCACCCCACAGTGCCACCAGCCCGCCCCGCCTCTAGCATCCCCGCAGTATTCCCCCCGGCATCTTCTCCAGTATCCCCCTCTGCATCCTCTGAGCACCCTCCCAGCATCCCCTCCAGCATCTTCTCCAGTATCCCCCCCTGTATCCCCTCCTGTATCTCCTCCAGCATCCCTCCCTGCATGCCCTCTAGCATCCCCCCCTGCATCCCCTCGAGCATCCCCTCTAGCATCCCCCCTGCATCCCCTCGAGCATCCCCTCCTGCATCCTCCCCTGCATTCCCCCCAGCATCCCGCTTCTTTCCTGTCCCGGAGCTCTTCCCCTCCCACCCCTAGGACCCGGGGCCCACAGGTAGCACGTGTGGGGCAAACCGGGCCCCAGCAGCAGCACCGGGGCCCCGCAGCACCCGCGGCCAGGAGGGAAGTTGCATCGGGGCACATGGGGTTGGAGCAGAGCAGAGAGACCCCAGCAAGCAGCTCTTGGCCCTCTCCTTAAATCCCAGAGCACCCCAGAGCGTTTCCAGCTCCGCTGCTTCCCCCCATAGCCCGCCCCACACCCCCCAGCCCAGCCCCACGGCTCCAGTTGGGTGCTTTCCCTGTTATTTGTTTCCTTCCGTTCCTGATTGAGACTCGGGCCTGGAGCAAAAGAGCCGGGTTCCGGCTGTCCCCGGTCCCACCGGGAGCTCACATGGGGACCCGTGTTTGACCCTTTGCTCCCATCCCTGCTCTGCCACATCCCAGCAGCGGGCTCCGGCACCGCCTGAGCCTTGGGGAAGCGATGTCCCACATCCCAGAGGTCGGATCCTGCCTTAAAACAGAAGCTCCTCCAGGCGGAACAACCGGGCCTGTGCCAGCCCCGCAATCCGCACCCCCCCACCCCGGCCCCGCCTTCTTCCACTCTCGGCTTTTCCTTTTTTCCCCCTTTTTTCCCCCATTTTCCCTCGGGAAAGGAGCCCGGGGCTGGAGGAACCCGCAAGCGGCCTCACCCCCTCCCTCCCGTCCCCTTTCCTCGGGGGCAACCGGAGCTACCGGGGGGGGGGTTCCCCACCGCCCCACACCTGCCCCGGCCCCTCCGCAGCCCGCGGGCGGGGGCACCGAGCGGGGCTGCCGGTGCCGCCCCGTCCCGCCCCAGCCGCGCTCCGCCCCGTCCCGTCCCGTCCGCCCGGACTTTACCTCCCGGCCGGGCCCGGCTCCGTTCCGGGCCATGTGAGGAGCGGGGCCGGGCCGCAGGGCCGCCACCGGCAGCGCCATGGAGCGCAGGAAAGTGTTCGTGGTGCTCGACGTGCTCTGCCTGGCGGTCGGTGAGGGCTCGGGACCGGCGGATCCCGGACACCCCCCCCCCCCCCCTTCTCCTCCTCCTCTCCCCCGTCCTTTCCCCGATCCCCCCCCCCCCCTCCGGTGGGGCTGTACCGGGGGGGGGGGGGGGGGGGGGTCTGAGTGCCCCCGGTGCCGGGGCTGCACCTGAGCGGCCCCACCGGCGCCGTTTCCCTTCCGCGGCGGGCACCGGGCCCTACCCCGGGGCTGCGGGGCCCCGTCGGGGATCCCAGCGCTTGGAGCGGAGGGAAGGGGGGGGTGTTGGGGTTGGTGTCAGCGTCGAACCGGGGGGTGGAAGCGGCGACCGGAGGGGTCCTGCGGCGTTGGCCGGGCTGGGGCCGTTCCCGTTTGCCGCTGCCCCGGGGGGGGCGTTTCCAAACGCCCGTTTCTAAACCGGGGAAGCTGCGAATGGAACCGGGCTAAAAATAAAGGCCCAGGTCGTAATTCCGGCCTCAAGGAGCGGGGCGGGGGGGGGGGGGCGGTGTCTCCTGGGTTTGTTTGGGTCCCGTTTCCCTGCTCTTGTTTTTCGGGAAGCGATTTTGGAGCATGGGATTGTGCAGGGAGGGATACGGGGTCTGATCCGAGCCACGGGGGATGCTTGAGGTGGATGAGGAGGAGGTTGCGAGAGGGGGACCAATACACATACACACATACACGTATACATACATACACATGCATACATGCATACACCCATATACACATACATACGTACACCCATATACGCATACACATACAG